GACATCGATGAAGTCAGATGAAAATAAACTGACTGATTGATACTGACTTTTTAGATCGTCAATTTGTCTTGAACTTCGTAATTTAAAAAATGAATCAAGTACAACAAATGCTGGTATTGTTAGCAGGGAGGTAAATGGAAATGTTGAAATGTTAAATGATAAACTGAAAACAATGAAGAAAGTATTAACTGATGTTAATGAGTTGAAAGATAAAAAGTTGAATTTGATAATGTCTCATGTGACGATATAAATTAGATTAAAGAATATAAACGTCAAAATTTCATATAGGTAATCTTTTTTCCTTGTGACGCAATTCAAGACGCGCCAACGAAATGACGTCACATCCGTTAAGTTAATAGGGGCCTAGTTTTTTTTTATCACGAAATTCTGTCTGTTATTTATTATTTATACGGTTGCTGCTGCTGTTGTGAAGATTTACTATTGAAAATTTTCTTTGCGATTTACTTTTTGAACCGCCGAACAAAAGATTATTTTTATAATTTCTTTATTTTAATTAACTTATAAATATATTTTTTATTACTTTTTTTTGTTTTCTGAATATGTTTTTATAATTATTATTTTTCACAACAATGTGAATTTGGACGAAATTCTATTTTTTATTCTGCATGTGTGGGAGAGAATGGGGTATAAAAACGCATCGCTGTCAGAAATGATTCATATGATCTGACCAACTTCTCATGTTTGTCTTGTTGTTGCAGATGCAGGTGATGGTGAAGATGATAAAGAAGAAGATGAAAAAGAGGATGGAAAGAAAATGAGAAAGAAGATGAGGAAGAAGATGAAAGGAAAATGAGGAAGAAGATGAAAGGAAAAATGAGGAAGAAAATGGGGAAGAAGACGAGGAAAAAGATGATGAAAATTGCAAAGATGAGGAAGAGTAAAACGACGAAGATGATAGATAAGATGATCTTGATGAAAAAGTTAATAAAAAAAATGAAAAGAAGGATGATATGGAAAATAATGCAAATGACAATAAGAAGTAGGAAATAAATGGTGGAAAGAATAGAAATGATCATTATGTGATGATAACAATACTTTATTTCAACTCATTATTTCATTCTAGTTTTTAATCGATTATAATTTTATATTTTTTGCATGCTGCTTTTAATTTCTATTACGTTAATTCAACAATAATTGCAATTTTAAATTAATTTTTGTTTTTATTATATGTTTCTTATAATTGGCGTCATATCGCCATGGCTGATTGTGACTTTTTTGGTCCCGGGGCGCCTCAGTTGCTTGCACTGGCGCTTTAAAAATGACATTTATTATTTAATATTATTTATTATTATTATTATTTTTATTATTATTATAATAATAATAAAAATAACGTCAGTGATGAGAAAGATGTCAAATTGACTGACTTGACGAAGACTATGACGTCTATAGATTTTAATAATTTTGCTATTGCTAGTGCAATGATCATTGACACCAGGACCTACATTCCAGTGTCCAGGTTCAATTGCAACAAGATCCTCGGCATGCCTTGTTCATTGGCTGTGATGCTGATAACGATGATGATGGTGATGATGCTGATGATGTTGATGATGGTGGTGGATGTGTTGTGTATGAATAAAGATTATAGTATGAAGAGAGTTATTTTATTTTAAATTTGTTTGATGTTTTTTAGCTTCTGGGAAGTTGTAGGATCGGACGCTGAAATTAAAAATATTTGAAATATTGGATAGAAACCGTATTTTATACAGTATTGTATAAATTTTATGAATTCTCTAGAAATTTCTAGAAAATTATAGTATGGAAAATTGAATAGACAAACTTTAAATTGATTAATTGATAACAATTCGGAAGAACTCATATAATACTGTAATAAAATGATAATAAATATTGTTCACAGAAGCAAATGTAATATTTAAATGAATAAAATTTTAATTCAAAATACATATATATAAGTAAAAAACTTTGTCAATTAAATTTTCAATTCCCTCATTCAATATTATATATTCCTTTTATGTTAACATCAAATCTGTGTCAGATAAAATTATATTAGATTTTTTAGGATGCAAGCAATTATGTTCGGTTGAGAAAAGTTTTTAATGGCGATAAATTTGAAAAGCTTGGATGGCAAATAATTGTTGAGAGGACCGAAGGTATCAATTGAAAAGTCTTGAATGTGTCGTTGCACTGGCACATGCTTGCCTACATTATCGGTGGATGATCTTCATGTTTGTGTTCTATTTATTGTTGTTGTTCTTTTGGTTGTTGTTGTGCTTTTGTGTTGCTGTTGTGGTATGTGTTTGTAATTGTTTTGTTGATATTAGTTTTTAGTGAAATTAAATTTTGAGTTGATTCTCTAGTTTGGATGGGTTTGCTAGGTTGTTCATTTTGTTGATTCATTCGCCACCTTGAATGTTGAAATAACTCTTAGATGGATTGTAAAAATAGTTTTTTAAAATAAAAAATATTCGCGCATTATTAGAATTTTTTCTGGAAATTTTTGCTTGAATCTGTGTTATGATATGGTAAGATAATATTGTGGCGACTTGATTACAAATACCATCTTTATGGTTGAGAATTATTGAAGGTTTCAAATAAATTTATATAAATTTTCTTGTTTGTTGAATAAAATTAGTATGCAAACAGGTTTTGATGGGGTTGTTAATGTCTTTGTCCTATCCTACCAACGGTCTTTTAAAATTTTATAAACGTTTTGATGTGAAATCCACTCTTATTCCCAGATTGTTGACTTCATTTATCTGAATGTTTCAACTTGGCAATATCACTTTGCACGAACTCTAGCAAGCTATTGTGAAAAATTGGCAGATTAAAATCTCTATTTCCAGTTACCAAAAATCTTGCATATTTTCCGCGCAAAAAAGGTCGCTACAAATGTTTTATTTGACATTTTTTGAGTTGGTCACGCATAAAAAAGACGAAAATCTCAAAATTTATAAACAAAGGTATCCATCACAAGCTCCAATCATCTCGTGAATTGAAACGTCACATCCATCTCAACATTAAAATTCTCACGCTCAGTCACTTCGTCATCCACTTCGACATTCATAATCAAACTTAATTCACATCAACATTCACCTTAAAAAATCCACCTTGACCTTTTAATTCATCCTCACAGTGCATGACCTCAACGTTAAAATTCATTTCAATCTCTTTATAAAATACAATATACTTCTAAACTTGGAATAATTTTTTTTAAAAGACTCGAAAGATTTTGAATTTAAAATCTAGATAAATTGTTTAAAATTTTTATTATAAAATAGTTATTTAACATCTTTGAATTGCTAGGTTAGAAAAATAATGGAAATCAGAAATGTCTCTAAAATGGCCCACTTTCGTTATTGGCTGGCACTTCAACCAGCAAAAATTCCACTCCTACAAGACATCTTCGGATGGCATTTATTCAAGCACACAACTGACCATTTAATAAAAAATATTTTTTTATTACCCATGAACAAATTATGTGGATCGGTCTCAAACTGTTAAATTAATCATCCAAGCTGATCGTTTCGTATTTAAATACTCCAAGGAGAGTGATGCAGTCAACATTCAACAATGAGAAAGAATAAATTTCTTGAAATAAACCACAAGAGTATAATGTTCCTATCACATTTTTATTAGTATTTTCTTTTTAAATTTGTATCTCCAGAACAAAATCACTGGTTCAAAGTTAACGCTGAAAATAATTTTAAATATATGAGAGTATATATATATATATATATATATATATATATATATATATATATATATTTATTTTATATATATTTATTTTTATCGTATTTATATATATATATATATATAAAAATACGATAAAAATAAAAAGTGCGATAGAAATATCTTTACATAGAATAACTTAATCAAATGTGAAAAACACTAATGGATTGGACATGCATGTTATTATAGGTCAATAATTTCATAAATCACTTTTAAACGAGACAAACAAAAGGAAATATAACTGTTTTATTTATATTTTACCATAATAAACATAACATAAAGATTTTTTTAGTGATCCAAGTCTGTGACAGGACCGCTCTGAGACTTTTTTTACTATCCTACTTTTGCCAAGTTTGCTTTGCTTTTAAGTTGTTAGTTGTTTCTGCGCCTATTATTTCATCTCCCAATTTTTTCTACTCGCTGACTACTCTGCAGCTGAAAAATTTTTCCTTATCGATCCAGAACTTTTTAAAAGATCTTATATTTATGCCCCCTTGTTTTACTGTTCATCTTAAGCTCAAACAATTTAGCTCATCTTAAATTCTCCTTCGTAGTGATGATTTTGTATTACTGAATCAAATTTCTTCTTGTTATTTTTTTCTGATGTTGTCAATCCACAAACTTTTAACCTGTCTTTTTATGGTATACCGTGACACTCCTTTATCATTCTCGTTGCCTTACTTTAAATATTCTCAAGCATATTTTTGTTCTTTTGTTAATCAGGTCATTAAAGCAGAACACAGTACTCCAACTTAGGTAGAGCCAATGCTTTATATAGTTTTAATATAACAATCATATCTCTGCTTTTTACAGTTTTTTTTATCATACCCAGAGTCCTCTTTGGACATTTAGCTGCCGCGATGTATTGCCGCGCTACCTTACCATCCCGATGATTTATCACTCCTAGATCTTTTTTCTCCTCTACATTTTTAGTGGTGTGTCTTCAAGTTTGAATACGTTTGCCTTGTTGTTCTCTCCCATATGTAGGACTGCACATTTGTCAATGATGAATACCATCCGCCAATCCTCTGCCCACTTGCATATTTTTTGCAAATCGCATGCTAGAATTTCAACATTTTCATCGTTGTCTACAACAGCACATAATTTAGTATCATATGAAAATTTTGAAATTTTAGATTTTATTCCTAGATCTATGTCATTAATGTAAATTACAAATAACAACGGTCCTACTGCGGATCCTTGAGGGACATCACTTGTAACATTGCTCCAGTTTGAAAAGTTTTCAAGTGGTTCACAATTAGTTTCTTAATTATTCTTTCTAGTACCTTACATTAAATGCTTGTGAGGTTGATTGGTCTATAATTTCCTGTGTCGCAACGATCTCCTCTCTTGAAGAGTGGCACTATGATTGCATCTTTCCAACCCGATGGTATTTCACCCGTTGCCAACGATTTATTGAAAAGTTTTAACAATGATTCCGCAATGTCCATTCTCATATTTTCAGAAATGCTGGATCGAAGCCGTCGCTTCCGGGGCTTTTATTTTCTTTTAGTTTTTGCAGTTCATCAACTATCTGTTGTTTCGTAGTTGTCGCATCATTTGAGACAATCATTTCATTTTAACGCTTAAAGGTGGTTAATGCTATTTAGCAAACTGTAAACTCAACCTTAATTTAATGAGTAAATAAAATTAATTTCGACAAATTGGAACACGTACGTGAAGTTGCACCTTGAATGTATTATTTTTATACGCAATGTTGAAAAACAGCAAGAAGGATGAAAACATTTTAAAGTTCAAAATTACAAAAACTTCTCATCAGACAAACTGATCGGGTGCATGAGTAGCTGACATGTATACAACTGCGAAAAATATTATTTTAAATCCAATAAAATCAAACTAACTATGTACGTAATAAATTTTTCATGACTAAATATAATTTTTATTGCTACAAGGGAGCAACAAGTTAGAAGAGAGACAAAACGAAAGCAAGTCATTGAAGTTTTAATTGTAAAGAACCGTTGGAAAGTTGTTGATGTTTTTTATAGCGATTTGTTTAACAATGCCGCATTGTGCTTGTGAATAATGAAGTCTCGATACAATTTATTTATTGTTTAAATTGCTTCCATCAAACTGTGTAAATTTTACATGTTTTTTTAACAATTATCTCAAAATTTTGAAATTATTACAATTTTTTAGAAAAAAAGTGGCAATTTTGAAAGAAATGTTGTTATCAAACAAATGATCACCGTTAATTTAAATAGTTACTCATTTTATTCTCGTCAAATCGATTCAAATATTTAGAAGCGTGGTAGGTATTCATCATTTAAATTGTAATCGCGATTTAAATTGAACAGTCAGATCAAGCATGTTGAACAAAAAAAAGTTCTTACATTAGTAAATTAGTATAATTCAACTTTAAAACTTAAAATACTTTAATTAAGATTTTAATTCAGTTAATGTCAAAACTAATAAACGTTAGTAAGACGACATCAAAAATGTCCTTAAGTAATTGTTCAAAAATTTCCTAACGAAAAACAAATTTTCCATGCAAACAGTGGTCAACATTTAGGAAATGTATATCATGAAAATGTGAGTTGAACAGGCCAGCTGTTCGATTGGGTTGACTGGGTGAGTGACTAACAGGGCGGATGAAATTTAACAAAAAAGTAAGCGAACGACGAAGTGATAGATCAGTACGCTTATCTTTTTAATTAAAAACTCATTTTTCCGAATATTAAATCATGCAATTTGAACTGGTCAGATGTTTTCAATGATGAATGCAAATTATTGCATAAATAAAACAGTGATGACAAATATTAGCAATGAAAAAATTCAACATGATCCCATCTGAATAATTAAGCATGAAAGAAGCAAAGAGGCCTTGCAACTTATCATAAAAAACAGACAGGTGATACGCGCACCTTTTGTCATGTTCCACTAAACAAACACTTTTTGTTACATATTTTAGTGATATTTTTGTCATGGTGTTAACGAAACCTTTTATTAAAAATTGTGTTCTGTACAAAAAAAAACAGCTGAAGAATTTCAAGTAAAAATTTATCTTTCAACAATACATCATATAAAGTGTATTAATTTAACAGAATATAATGAATGCTAAATATATTTAACTAACTAAAAATATGTTTTTTAAAATACTCGGGTGTAAATGAAAAAGGTTGATGGACAGATTTTGACATAAAAATGTTTAAAAACTAATTAATGCATTTGAATAAAAATGGATGCAAACGTTTTGAATGTTAATGAAATATATAAGAAATAATAATAAATCTGAAAAGAGCATGATCTGAACAAACTTTTTCAGGGTTGATTTTGTGCCAACAGAACTAGAAAACAATGTTATCATTGTAAGCTCGGTTATACAGTTCCATCGTAAATGTCGTTCGTAAAAATTTAATCAACTAATAATGATATAAAGAAAACATGTTACACATTTAGAAACTGAAATTTTTTAAAAAATATTTTTTTTTTGTCTTGAAGCAAGATTTCCGATGTTGAACTAACGGTCGGTGTGAGTTGCGTTCGTAACTGACGAAGACGTGCTTACATCCGCACATTCGTGCAAGCTCCTACAACCACAGGCGCTCGTTCCTCTTTACTTTTTCACTGAACGGATATGAAACGTAAGCACAAATATATAAATAAGTATATGCAGGAATCAACACACACACACCACAAACACACACACACATACACACAAACATACTCCCACACACACACACACACACACACACACATATATATATCAATATATATATATATATATAATATATATTATATATATATTATATATATATACACATATTTATATATAAATATTTATATATATACTAGTTATATAAATATATATATATATATATATATCTTTGTGTGTGTGTGTGTGACGTGTGTGGAACAGCATGGCAATTGAAATTTGAATCATACATGATCGAATCAAAACAAAATAAAAAAATGATGCATGTTTCACGTTTCAAGTTAAATTCTATTTTTACGACAGCATTTTTTTTTAAGTTTTGAACTCACAACAATTTTTGCAACATCTAATTTTACTTAAATAAAAAATTGAAACAACTTAAAATTTCAACTAACTAATGAAAGCATTATATATACTTTCGAAACGTTAGTTTATTCAACTCCATGACTAAGAAGTAGCAGACAGCAATACCCGCCAGTTGAATCAGCGTACCATGACAGATGAATTCAAAACTGGTCAACCTTCTTCATCCATTTAGCTGTAATAAACTGTTGCTGAACTGAAAGATGCTTACTGTAAATGTGATCATTTCAAAACGTGTGTGATGCTTAATATAAATGCTCCTACCTTGGCAACAGATAGTTGCGTATTTAATTATTTAAATTCATTTCTAAGTTTAACTGCTTAAAGTTATAGAAATGTGCTAAAAAAAGACGGTTTCTCCGAACTAATTAATCTAAGTAATATTTATATAACATTGAAAGGCATAATATTAATAATAATAATAATTTTTATTTGTGTCGATTTTGCTTTCTACTGGTTTGATTGCGAACACGCTTTGAGAATTGAACGTCAGGGATTGAGATCATGTTTTTAGAATTGAATATTATGAATTGAACATCATAAGATGATTACAGTAGAACCCGGTTTATTGGACCAACAGATATTAGAACCAGAGAGCTTCTCGGTGGAAACCTACCTTTCAAAACCGAACTATTTTTCGAAAGCCTAATTTATTTCCCTCATTCGTCGCATTCTGGCAACCCTCATCTAATGAAAAGAGGAAATAATAACAGAATAACATTTTTCTTCCTTGTTAAACGTGGCAAAAAAATTTGAGGGGGGTTGCTAAAAAACATCATAACCTCACTAACTAACAGAATGTATACCAAATTTTTCGAGATAACACGTTTTAACATATCAAAGGTTTAAAATTCATCGAATAAAATGTTGACCAAATAAATGCCATCCTATAGTTCAATCTTATACGTATCAAGAGTATTTTTGGTGACACAGTGTATCATTTGAAGCATATTTAGCAATTGATCTGCCTCATCATCATTATCATCAGTCTCATCAATTTATTTTTTATTATTCAGTAGCACTGTAGCTGCATTCTTATTTCCTATTATTCATTAATAGTATCTTTGAGACCAAAATTCAATAGTCGTTAGTATGCCAACAACAATGTCTCTCGGTGGTTATATCATCCTTATTTTCACTAACTTCATAATCGTCAATAGTTTCACAGATATCTCTGATATCATCACAATTAATAAGTGATTATTGATTTGTAAAAGTGAAAACTGGTAACTGAAGCAGTTAAGTCTTGTTTTACTTTTGTTTTTTCATATAAATACTTATTAATATAATTTTTATGTTTCGGTTTGACGAGATAAAATGTTGATGGTTGAATTAAGAAATATTAAATAACGTTAATTGAAACTTTACCCTACTCATTTTCATCATCATCAACCTCATCATTCTCATCATCATCATAACTCTCATCACCATCACATTCATCCCCATCATCTTCAGCGGTACTGTCATCGTCGTATTCGTCCTCACCATCGTCTCCATCCTCATCAACATTTTGATTATAAGACAGCGTGCATATATTTATAGGGAGTTTGTCACATTCATCTGAGATAGAGACCTGGGCGAGTTGAATCACCCAGGCATAAGCCAAGTTACATTTCTTCCCTCTACATCTATCCATTAATACTTGTGACGTATAGTCTCAATGACGTTTAAATTAAATTACAAATGAATAAACATGTAGAAAAATCTGGGTAATTATAGTCCTCATATTCAATCATACTTATACACACACACACACACACGCATACACATCACATACGTTGTTAGAGAGAATGAGATAAAAAGAGAGAGGGAAAGAGAGAGAGAGAGAGAGAGAGAGAGAGAGAGAGAGAGAGAAACTCACACACTTATTTGAGTCTGCTTGAATGCTTAAAGTACACGCGTACATTGACCACACAAAAAATTATTATAAATATTTACATAAATCTAAATATTATTAATAATAATTACATCAAAATCGTGGTTAATATATCATGAAAAATATTTTAAAATTTTGGCAATCTACAAGGTGGGTGAGTCAGTGATATAGGGTAGATACGTGCGCCTAATCATATTCGTATGGATATTTGATCCAATCTATTTGTACAGCGAGCAGGCATGCTAATCCCAACTATGTTTCATGCAGTTTTAAAATGTTTTAACTTATCCCGAGATTAAATTTTTTGTAAAATAAAATGATTTATAGGACTGCAGGCTTCAAAATTTTAAATTAATAACGCTACCATTGTGTCATGGCCACCTAATATTATTTCTGATGTTAGCAAATAATATTTTTTAAAAATTATGTAACTTAATATTCCTTCTAAAATTTTGTTAAGCTCAAGTTATTATCATTTTATTAATTTTAAAATGATGAACTCTTATGAGCCAGAGTCATCTCGCATTTTAATCACATCC